TACTATACTCGTCCCTTCTATATGCTAACTATCCTTATTATACTCTATCAGTCCCTGTACTGCAAACCATAATGCTTCAAAGGCGATAGAGAGGGAGAGAAAAAGAGGGGAGAGAAAGAAAGAGAGAGAGAAAAGAAAAGTGCCTTCCATAGATGCAAACTGTAGGTAGGGGGTGGAAGAACAAAAACTGGGGACATTGGTGGTGGGAAATATAAAACAAGAAGTGATATTATTTATTTACAAATAATTTAATTTCATTTTAAAAATTATAAAAGCATCACATTTTAAGCAACCTAAAGAAATAATAAAATATAGTATACTTGTATGGATTAGTCATTTGCAATATGTTGCCATTGTTTCATAATTAGTCAACCCAAAAAAATTTTGGTAGCCAAATATACCTATGAAGAAGACTCATTTCTTAATGAAATTATGTTTTTAATATATCAAAATAAGTGAAGAAAGAAAATAAAACATGAGCTCTTAGCAGAAGTTATTTTTAAACATAAATTTAAACTTCCACAAAATTGTGTCAGATTTGTTTTGATTTTTAAATAAGGAAATATAATAACTTTTAATAACCATGCCATCAGGAAAAGAAGCTTCCTATAAAGAAGAAATTGTAATTGATCACTAAAGTATTACTGACAAAAAATAGTATGGATCTTTACACATATTTTAAACTGTGAAGGAAATATAAACTTTTCTAAATACCTGCCTAGCTGTTTTTCACTGCATATCATAAAGAAGAATAGATACAAAATACTAATAAACATATTTCTATTAAATAATATAATTTATATTATTTCACGGTCACTGTCCTCCCGTTGTTCATCGATTTGCTCCAGCGGGCCCAGTAACGTCTCCATTGTGACACTTGTTACTGTGTTTGGCATATCGAATACGTCACGGGGAGCTTGCCAGGCTCTGTTGTGCGGGCGAGATATTCTCGGTAGCTTGCCGGGCTCTCCGAGAGGGGGAGAGGAATCGAACTTGGGTCGGCCATATTGGCTGCTTGCAAGGCAAACGCCCTACCAGCTGTGCTATCACTCCAGCCCCTTATATTATTTAGCATAGATAATGTAATTCCCAGTACAGAAATAATGCTCTAAGTTTTGTTTTGCTTGTGGTCTATACTCAGCAGTGTTTTTGTTTTATGTTTTTATTTTTCTTGTTGGGTCACACCCGGCGATGCACAGGGATTACTCCTGGCTCATGCATTTAGGAATTGTTCCTGCGGGGCTCAGGGGATGATAATGGGATGCTGGGAACCCAACCTTGGGCGGCCGCGTGCAAGGCAAACGCCCTACCCGCTGTGCTATCGCTCCAGCCCCTACTCAACAGTGTTTGAGGGCTATTTCTGACATGATTCTCTGGGGTTGCTCCCAGTGGTTCTCAGGCAACCACATATTACTGGAGATAAAAGCCAGGTATTCAAAATGCAAAGCAATGTTTGAAATAGTTGAGTCATCACTCAAGTCCTAATTTTAACTTTAAGCTACTATAATTCAATTTTTTCATTTATATAATTTTGTGCCCTGGAAAGATAGTATTTGTTTTGTTTTTTTTTTGTTTGTTTTTTTTGGGGGGGCGGGGGTCATGCCCGGCAATGCTCAGGGGTTGCTCCTGGCTCTGCGCTCAGGAATTACTCCTGGCAGTGTTCGGGGGACCATATGGGATGCTGGAAATTGAATCCCGGTCCGCCGTGTGCAAGGCAAATGCCCTACCCTCTGTGCTATTGCTCCAGCGGTAGGTCATTTGCCTTGCACGCAGCCACCTCAGCCGAGCCGGGTTCGATTCCTCTGCCCCTCTCGGAGAGCCCGGCAAGCTACCGAGAGTATCTCTACCCGTGACGTATTTGATATGCCAAACACAGTAACAAGAAGTCTCAAAATGGAGACGTTACTGGGCCTGCTCGAGCAAAATCGATGAACAATGGGAAAGATAGAATAGTAGGTATGGCATTTGCCTTGCACGTATCCAACCTCGGTTCAATTCCCCACACCCTCTATGATCCACTGAGTCCAAACATGCGATCTATGAGTGCAATGCCAGGAGTAAGTCCTACACTGCTTTAAGTGGTCCAAAGAAAACAAAACACATTTGTATAAATTCATTTTTATATAATGAGACTCACCAATGAATATATGATTAAGGGCTAAAGCAAATAGAAATATTCATTTATTAGTTGTATGAATATTCAGAAACTGAACAAGGCAGTAAGATATCATAATGTCAGTTTGTAATTTTTATTTAAGTTTATTAAATCTATTTTATATCTTCTTGCAATGAAATTTTCACCTGGTGTTTTTGTTTCTTCTGTGCAGCATAAACACTTATTCTGGAACTTCAAGTCCATAGCACTAAGTGGATGTTATAGCAATTACCTGTAATTGTGTAGTGTTAAAATAGTCCAATTGAAAAAATATGAAAAATTCAATTATGATATTATTAATTAATAGAACCTTCTACATTTAGGAAATTGTGCTACACAATTTTATTTTGGAGAATGTGATGATTTCTGAATATGATATTTTATATTCTGCAAAGCATTTCTTACATAGAGTTTGTAATGTTTTTTAAATTGAAAACAAACATCAATAAATTTGATTAAACGATATAGAACTTTATACATTTTCTTAACCATCTTTACACATACATTTTACAGCACATGACTTTATTATTTCTCTTCTACAACTTTAGATATATACCGCAGAAATCAAGTCTTACACGTGTTTCACCGTATCCACATGTCATCTATTACTTTACTTTTTAAAAATTTTTAGTCATCATGTTTTACTATACAGTGATAAAATTTCATGCATATAAAGTTGAACACCACGCTTTATCAACAGTGTCTATTTTCCTCCACCACTGTCTCAGTGACAACAGTGATATCCCCACCATAATAAGCTCAGTTCTGTAGAGAAGATGTTTGTTGCTTTGGGCCTTTTGTTATTTCTCTTATATGCTTTCTGGTAGCCCATATGTAATAGGTATTATTCTGAATTTGTCCCTCTCTGTCTGATTTATTTCATTCAGATGATACACTCCAATTTATCCATGAAGCAGCAAATGACATGAATTTTGCCTTTTCGTGTAGCCGAGTAGTATTCCACTGTGTGCACATACATAATAGTTTTTTAATCCAGTCATCTCTTCTTGGGCACTTGGGTTGTTTCCAGATTTTTCTATTGTAAATAGTGATTCAACAAACATAGGAGTGCAGATGTGTTTTATGATTAGAGTTTTTCTGCTCTTGGGGTAAGTGCCAAGAAGTGAAATTGCTGGGCCATATAGAAACTCCACTTTTAGATTGTTATGAAATAGCCATATTTTTTCCTAAATGATAAAAAAAGTGGCCATAAACACCATCAGTGTATGAGACTCCCTTTTTCTCTGCATCCAGGCCAACACTGATTGATTTTGTTCTTTTTGATGTAAGCCAATCTCTGTGTGAGATGGTACCTCATTGTTCTTTTGATTTGCATTGTTTTGATGGTTAGTGATAAAGATCGCTTTTTCATATATCTTTTTGTCATTCTATATATAATTGAGAAATTTTTGTTCATCTCTTCTCCCCATTTTTGATAGGGTTGAATTTTTTTCTTTTAAAGTTTTACCAGTGATTTATATATCTTTGACATAATGTTTCATTGTCTTCCTTTAATTAATATATATTAAGGAGATAAGATGCTTGTCACTACCAGTACTGACACCTGAACACAGAACTAAGAGTAAACTGTGAGCATCACTATTTGTGACTGAAACTCTCCCCACTACCAAAATATGGATATTTTTGCCCTTTAATGAAATATGCCCATCCAGCTAGTTAGACTAAGATAGGGTCAAATTTTCTTATATTTTTACCTTACTGCATATCTAGATTTCATTAAAAATATTATCCCCCAAATTTATTAACTGCCTATGTTATTTTCTATAAATAAAAGTAATTATTTTAAGTATATTATGGTCAATTTTGACTAGATTGAATCAACAATTTAGACTGAGATGCCAATATAGAAATGATAATTTGCCCTCAATTGTACAGAAAAATTAGACTCACAAACATGGGCTTTAAGTGATACTTATATATGGGTTATAGATTTGCGTTGGTCCACCCACAGTTCCTTTCTTATTTCTTTCTTTTAACAAAACCAATTTTTATAAGATAACTACAAATACATGTGGGTTATTATACATATGTCTTGGGAAAAGAAATTAACTTTCAAAAAACAAAGGTAAAATTAGGTTTGGGGGAGATAGTTTAGAGGACTAAAGTACATATTATATATGAGGCAGTCCAGGTTTGATACTTAGAGCCGCATGGACCCATGAGTAATTCCAGGAGAAACCCCAAAGAAAAATCACAAGAAAAACCCCTGATAACCACAGGATATCATCCAATCATCAAATGAAAGTTCATTTTTTTAAAAAATATTCTTTTTAATTATAACTTTTGCCTTCATTATCAAATATTCTCTAATCATAAAGAATATGCATTCTTTTCATTGTCAATTTTAAGTAGGTTGCTGTTTTACAAAACACTAACTAAAATTATATTCATAATAATTACCCCATCATGCAGTGTAAGTGACCATAAAGTTAACCTAGGTGAGGAAATCTAAACTTTATAAAGGCAATTATGTAAGATCATAACTAGACTCTCATTTCTCCACAATTTGGTAAAACATAGATACCTTAAACCTGCATGGTTGAACAAAATTAAAAATTCATAGAAGGAATCATAAATATCTTTGTTTATGGAATCTTAACAGTTTTAATATCTATGGTGTTATAGAAATAAAAGAACCTGTAGTATAAAATTAGATGCTTTTTGAAAACTGATACAGTAACGTATAGAGATGCTAAGAAATATTAAGTTTTATCAACAATAAATCAAGTTTATTAAGTTCTTGAAGATAGAACTTTAGTGTTTTTAAACACATATCTGCATTGTTTCTCAAAATCACTGCTAACTTGTTTTCTTTTTTTTAAAGGAAGTAACTATTACTCTTTGGCAATCGCATAGCAGTTGTTTTCTGCCTGAATGTCCTCACTGACCTGCATAAGTGAAAATACTTGTAATTCCAGTTCATCTCTGAAACTATTCAACATGAAGCTATCAATTGTGTGTATTTGCAGAGCTTTGTTTACTGAAGCAGTCCTTCAATCTGCCGTTTTTTAGAGAAAAGTGTGTACATTTTATAAGCAGCTATGTAAAATCCCACCTTCTGCATTAGATTAACGAATTTAAGAAAAATAACTAAATCCTTAAAACTACAGTGATACGGTTGTATTTTTAATAATTATATCAGTTTGTCATTTTGCCCTCTGAGGGAATAATACAGTGGTGTGTTAGATACTACGGACGTGTATGAATGGTTTCTATGTTATACCATATATTAAATTAAAGTAAAGCTTCTTTGTTAAAAATGTATTTGCTAAATTTCAGTATAAATAAAGCATTTTGACTTGAATTCTCAGAGTTTTTATTTTTAAATTTCCAACTATGTATATTGAAGTAGAGTCAGTGCAAATTAAAACAGGAACTAGGGAGGTAATTACAAAGCTTCCCTGGTTTTGTTATTCATAAATAAGTAGGGGCATGTATATCACTTGAATTCACTTTTTTATTAATTTTACTTTACTTTTTTTGGGGCAACACTCAACATTGCTCAGGGATTACTCCTTGTTCTGTATCAGGGATTGCTCTGGTGGGCTTGCAAAAATGTTTCCATAGATGCTGCTTGAAAAGTAATGTGTAATAAAATCCTGTATAAGGGAATTAACTGAGGCTATTTGAGTACCATTAGTAGTCTCATATTTTAAAGGAAGCATACAATTATTACTAAATCAATTACAATGCCAAAGCAATCTCAACGTTGGAAAGTTATGCCACTTGATATTTAATTTAGTGGAAGAGAATCACCCAATATTATACATAGCTTAACGATTCTTATAAACGATTCTTATTCTATGATGTGCTACAGATAATGTAAAGTGTATTAATATAGTTTCAGTTCCATTTGCACTAATATTTATGTACATGCACATACAGTGTAAACCCGTAGAACATGTTACATAATCTTTGTCCATGAATTTCTGAACTCAAATCTACAGTTATTTTATTCTATTTCATTTGATTTAAGGATTTCCTGAAATAAGATAAGGAACTATAAATTGTAAGGTTGCCATTATTTAAATTACATCATGCTAAGACTCATCTATAAATAACTATAAAATCACAGCTATTTGAGTACATAAATTTATTAATTTATAATACAAAAGTACATCAAAGAATAGAGAAAATAAGGGCTGGCGTCATGGTTGGGAGGGCACTTGCCTTGCACAAGGATGACACAGGTGTGATCCAGGGAATTTTATATAGTTTGCCAAACCCAACATAGTGATACCTGAGAAAAGAGCTAGGAGTAAACCATGTACACCACTGGTGTGGCAAAAACAAACAAAAAGAATATATATATATATATATATATATATATATATAACATCTGTAGGTTGATGATAATTCTGAAATTCAGTTCTTTAAACTGATTTAAACTGATGATAATTCTGAAGTTCAGTTCTTTAAACTGATTTAAACATAAGGCACATACGATTTCTCACTGGATGTCTAAGATTTCCCATTTGATTTTTCACTAAATTCTATTATAATTATTTTAATTTTTAAGTTTTAAATTAAATGATTGTATAAATTATAACACAGACTTCAGATCTTTATTTTTTTACTTTCTGATATATTAGAAGGATAAGAAACAGCAATACAAGGGAGATAAAAATACTTATCTATGCTCTATGAAAATCTTCCATAAGTTTTTTAAATCAGAGACCTCTGGTGACCAATGTTCACTGTAATAAGCACAATTGCATTTAAACGTAGCTTACTAATTTTTAAGGCCATACCATGATAGTTCATTATACTTCAATTGGTAATTATTTCTCACGTTTGGATGCACGACTTTTTATAGGGGCAAACCAAATATGACTTAGGGTCAGGATCCACTCACAGAGATTAATTCTTCTATAACCCTCTTACTCTGGGACAAACCTCCAGGATTACTTCATGGTGCACGTGGAACACAGGGCCACACCCAGAGGTGCTGAGCAATAAAGTACTGAGAATAGAATCTAGGTGGGGTGCATCCTAAACATGTTCCACTAGTCCTTGTGCTAGCTGTCCAATCTCTGAACCATAATTTTTAAGAGTAAATATAAATCCTAAATATTTCGGGTAAAAATTCACTTGATCACTTGACTTCCTGTTAATCGTCGATTTGCTCGAGTGGGCGCCAGTAACGTCTCCATTTGTCCCTGTCGCGTGCTAGTGTAGCCCAATGGCGTCTGTTTGCTCTACGAACACAAAGAGCCTCAAACCGATGATTCATGATCTTGATGAAGAAGTCTGACCATCTGGTAGGTGGACGGCCATGCGGTCTTTTGACATCCCGTGGAATCCAGTCGGTAAGAGCTCTAGTCCAGCAGTCATCTTTAAATCTCATTACGTGACCAGCCCATCTGATTTTTGACACCTTGGCAAACGAAACAGCGTCCCGGATTCATTCTCACATTTGAGTGAAACATGATATTCCAAGCATAGCTCTTTCAATTGCTCTTTGGGAGACCCGAATAGCCTTCTCATCCTGTTTGCATAGGGCCCAGGTTTTTGAGGCATGTGTTAATGCAGGAAGAATAGTGGAATCAAAGAGATGTGCCCTGAGCCGGAGGTTCTTCATCCTCTTAGCCATTTCTTCAACGCTCTTGAAGGCGTTCCAAGCCGCTCTCTTCCTCCTGCGCAGCTCGGGTGCCATGTCATTTGTCATGTTGACTTCTCGACCTAGGTACACATAGCTGTTGCATTCGGAGATGGTCGTTCCATTGAGAGCAAATGGGTCATCAGAAATGAGGCTGTTTCTCATAAACATTGTATTCGTAAGATTCAGCTGTAGTCCGACCTTTCCACACCCACGTTTGACGTTGACCAGCATTAGTGCCACTTGGCTAATCTTTGGTGTTATTAAAACAATGTCATCAGCAAAGCGGAGGTGGTGTAGTTGCTGACCATCTATCTTCACTCCCATTCCTTCCCATTCCAGTCGTCGCATGATGTTCTCGAGAGTGGCACTGAAGAGTTTCAGTGAAATGGTATCACCCTGTCGAACCCCTCTCTTGGCATCAATGATTACTTCTTTGTAGAATGGTTAGATCCTGGTAGTGAATCCGTAATACAGCTCATGGAGGATCTTGATGAATTGAGCTTGAATGCCTTGATTGACTAGGTCTTCAATGACCGCTTCCGTCTCAACAGAATCAAAGGCCTTCTTTAAATCAATGAACGTTAGACAGAGCGTCATCTTGAACTCCCGAGAAACCTCAATGAGCTTGGTTATCATGTGGATATGGTCAATGGTGCTGAATCCTTTGCGGAACCTGGCTTGCTCGCATGGTTGTCCTTCATCTAGTGTTCTGCCAATCCAATTCAGGATGACTCGAGTGAACAACTTGTAGATGACAGACAATAGGCAGATCGGGCGATAGTTGCCAATGTCATGGATGTCTCCCTTCTTGAACAGTAGTACAGACCTACTGGGTTTCCATTGGGAAGGAACCTTGGATTCAGACAGGTAGCATGTGAAGAGCCAAGTCAGCATATTGATGAGTACTGACGGCAGGTTCTTCAGGTGTTCAGGTCTGACCTTGTCTGGGCCGGGTGCTGTTCGTTTCTTTACTGACGAAATGACGTGTCAGATTTCGGAAGGGAGAACATTGGGAACGACATATCCATCCTGTGGAATTTGGTATGTCGGCAAGTGGACATGGCTATCGAAGATAATTGAGTAGAAGTCATGGATAATCTTCTTCATTGCCCTTCTGGAAGATGTGATAGATCCATCAGGACATCGGAGGGCAGTCATCTTGGTCTTGTAGTTGGCGAAGGACAGGCGGACATTATGAATACTTTTCCCAGCTTCTGCCGCATCTACCAGAACGTCTGCTCTTTTCTCTTTGAGGTCTTCCTTGATCGCATCTCTGCACTGCTTTGTGAGCTCAGACATTCGCTTGCAGTTGCCCAAGGCATGCGCCAAACCACTTTGGCGAATAAGCTCATGAGTTTTCAAAGACAGTCTTTTTTTGTGGCTCTCTCTCTCTGGGCGTTCCTCACACAATCATGGAGGTGCTGAACCAGTGATCGTATTCCTTGTTAATGTTTTCAACAATGGCATCTTCCCGTGTTGCCACAATAGTGCCAAAGAGCTCCCAGTTGGTGTTCGTTCTGGGAGTTCTCTTTTTAAACTTTGGAGCCCTTTCTCCCCGCTGTGTGAAGTAGAATTTTGCATGAAGGAGACAGTGGTCTGATCCCGTTTGTAATTTTGGGACAACAGTGACATCAGTCAGGCAAAACCGTCGATTGAATATGATGTGGTCCATTTCGTTGTGGAATCGTCCACCGGGAGACTCCCACGTCCAACATTTAGATTCGGCCTTCTGGAATCTTGAGTTACCATGGATGGTCTTGGTCGACATGATGAACTCAGACAGTCTCTCACACTGTTCGTTCCATTCTAGGCCATGGGTCCCGATATGAAGTTCTTCAGCTGATCTTTTCTGTCCTATCTTGGCATTAAAATCACGCACAATGATCTTGTAGAAGTTGTGGTCGTCTTTATAGAACTTCTCCAGCTCCATGTAGAACTTCTCAATTTCTCCTTCATCATTATTAGATGTTGGTGCGTAGACAACGAAGACAGAAACTGCTGGAAATGAGTCACATCTATTCAAATGTAAACGACTGATTCGGGTTGTTAGGCATTCAAATGAATCAATGCTCATGGCCAAGTTTGTGTTGACAAGGACACCGACGCCGCCAACACCTCTTTTATCACATGTTCCAAGGAACAATTCTTCTCCAGTGTCGAAAATGCCATGATGAGATTGGTGCCTTCTTTTCTCGGTCAGACCAATGATGTCATACTTGATCTTTCGCAATTGCACCATCAGGTCCTCGATGGATGCATCTGATGCTAGTGTATGTGCATTGAAAGTACAGACGATCATTTTTGTATTCCTTCGTTGTGGCAGCCTAGTTCGGCCTTGAGATTTTATTGGCCTCTCCTTTCTCATCCTTCTCAATGGTGTCATGTTCTTGAAGCCTTCAGGGTCAGGTGAATGAGACCCATTGTAATTACTGGTTTTGGCATATAGAATACACAACAGATAGCTTGCTAGGCTCTGCTGTGCGGGT